TAATAAATTCAATTTCCTGGCAGTTATTTAAACTAATCCTGGACGAGTACAAAAAATACCTAATAAATTTTAATTGCTGTCAGGATATTTTCAGTTAGTTGCCTATTTAAACTTTACTTTACTTTATTATGCTTTCGATGTTAATTCATCTTGCTGTGATATCATAATCGCTCTTCTTCCTAAATAACGTATGCAGATTACCCAACAAAATAAGTATTAAATAAGATTTATTCTCTATTTGCTTTATTATTATTATTATTATTATTATTATCAAATTCTTTATTTTACGTGATTTGCGTGTACTATCGATACATTTACTAAATCAATGGAGAATAATCAATCTGCATCCAGCCTATCGTCAGATTTATTACTTTATTGCCGATCATCATCATCATCATTATTTTTGTATTCTTAGTCCTATGCATATGGCTTCCTATTCATCTTAAAGAACTATTTTAACAAATTCAAAAATCTCTCACGTGCGAAGCACCTGGAATTGCGGATCAGCGTCGATCAGGGCTTTCCCTTAACTTAGCCCCAGGATTTATGGACCGATTCGTTTAGCCAGCCGATTGACATTCAGAAATACCAGAATTCAATACGTTTCAGCTTTCAATGATCTGACGAGTTGTTATTCGGCGTTTTACGTTTGCAATGAATGCCACTGACTTTCAAAAACATGCAGCAAAAGTGCCGAAGCGAAAGTTTACAAATCACTTTTTAACACCAAAGTTCTTCCCATTTATCGCCTGGATACGCAAGTTCTGCTTGAACATCATTTTCAACTTTTCGTGCGGGGTATAAGTAAAGTATGGCGAAAATGCTACTTTCGAAAACAAACGAAACGCCTTTTCCAACAACCTAATAATCGAATGTTTCAAGTAAACAAACTTCACAAAAAAAAAATAAATAAAAAAATAAAAAAAATTCTTGACATTTCATCGAAAGACAACGTTTTTCTTACTATCTAAAATTCTATCTAAAAATTTCCTTATCCTTTATGGGCTTTTCATACTTACGTTCAGTTTCCAGCCATTTATAACGCAGTGTTTACTGTCGCTGGACAACCATTACAACGTGTTACCGAGCGTTCCCATGCAAGTGAATGAGTTTGCGTCTGTTAAACACCACTGCTGGCCTTTTTTGCAACAGGACAGCGTTCAAATTAGTCAACAGATGTCGGTGGATGCCTGCAGTAGCAGTTCCATTCGGTTGTAGTAGCGCATAATACACAACACCTTATTGATCCCGCCATATGCACCGTAAAACATTGAGACCAACAATATTCTGCTTCAGTGTCAATGCCGATGGCCCATGACCTTTAGCCTTTAGGTCTTCTTTGGGCAAGTAAAACGACTTTCCATCGCACTCGGAATTTGTGTTGGGTTTGCGTTCAATAAGTCTGGCAATTCATTATCTTCGAATATTTTTGATCCTCCAGGCCGTTCTTTGACGTCATTGACATCAAAATAACCCCTTGTTGTAAGTCGTTCAAAACAAAATTGAGATTTCCATCTACCATAATAAGCTTTTGCATGCATCATATAGTGTACAGTTAAAGAAAGTTGTATACGGCTTGTCACACTCTACACCACTTATAGTAAATGTATGTAACAAGTTTGCCGGATATACGCAATACCTAGGAGGACTTGAGATAGACCAATCTTTTCGTACATCGGTCGATTTAGAAGGACTATCTAAATCAATTTAAACTTGTCTGTCCCTCTGCTCGTCTCGGTTTTTCTTACTGGCTTTATTTACCGTATAGACCGCAAATTGTTGAGATATTTTGGATAAAATTCGCTACACAGACATGAATTTTGACATATCTTTAAAGGTAATTGTTTTTTTTTTTTGCTGTCTCTTCCTGTCACATCAAATAATTTTTCTTTAATACGCCGCAACAAATCACTGCTTGTAGTTATAGATAAAGTTTCTGAATATTTTTTTTGTTTTGCCGATTTTTTGTTTGACTTGCGTTTTTTCTTTTAAACCGCATTACCAAGATACATTTTGACTGTAGATCAGAGATTATCACTCGATATATGTTTACGTTTAGGTTCGTCTCCGTTCAATATCTCGAAATTATTGCAATTATTATATATAGAGTTATATCTTAGCTTAGAATAATCAATTACTGAAAGAATTAAAATCATCCCGAGCAAGTGAATATTTGTGTGTATTTTCTGCGCTAATTCTAGGTTGCATAATTTAAATTAGCATTTTTATTTAGGGGCCGCATTAGTTCGCTTTGTAAATGTGGTTTACATTGCGATTTTGTCATGGTTTCTGTAACAAAAGAGAGGTACATTGCGAGGTAAGATGTGTTGCTTGTGCTGCAATCCCTAGATGGAATAAATTGTATATACATTAAAGGATTGTTGCAAGCCAACAACAATGCTTGTAATTAATTAACTTACATGTAAATGCAAAACTTTTCACTTTTATAAAAAAGGAAAAAAAAAAGAAAAAAAGTGAAACATAATAGACGAAAAAGGAAGCAACCGTAACAAACAACCCGCCATGTAATAACTCCTGTTTACAACTACATACAAAAAAAAAAAAAACTATGGCAACAAACAAAACAAAAATAGCAAAAAGTAAAATTCGCTCATGAGCAAGTAAGTAAAGTAAGAAAACGAGCGCTACATACCTTAGAACGATACTTGTACACCTAACACTTCAAGTCAGTGTAAAATGTAAAAATGACTTGACTCATCACTGCAATTATAAACTATTCAGTGCAATAAAATGGAAGAGAATTTCTCGAATAACCATCAAAACTGTATTAATATCATTTGTGCTGTTGTATGAAATCTCAATTCATGCAAATATTTCTTGTCTTCCAACCAAGAATTAAGATTATGTAATACACGTTACCGTCTTCTTTCACACATTTTAAATTTATTTTTTATTTATTTTTTTTTTTTTGTCGCTTTATTATCGGATAAAGTCAACTTGATTTAAATTATAAAGAATTTTATTCATGATTTAAGGAATCGTTGATTCGTATTTGTCTGGATCGTCGTGAAACCTTTGCTAAAATTCTTTCTCTTTGTCGCTGGCTGGTATCAAAATGAAACATATTACTTTTAGTTGTTGAATGACGTGACCATCATCATCTAAAACATGCCCTTTAAACCTTTTCCAGCGAGCTTTTACTATATCAACTTCACTTCCTATCCAAAGTCAAAAAACTTTTTACTAAAAACTAAACCATAAAAAAGAATAAGAAGCAAAAAAAAAAAACAAATTTGTTGTTCACAACTACTTTTAATGCATTTTAACCTTTTTATAGCCACCATCAGCTAACAATAATCGGTATGATAACGTTGAGCATGTGTTGGTAACACATAAACATTTGAAATTTCAATCGAACTAATATTTATTAAGAATGCTAAACGGACCGAGTATTCGTAATCTAAGATCGTTAGCTACCTTCTTCTTCTTCTTCTTCTTCTTCTTCTTCTCTTTCTTTCGTATTCGTGTGAATTAAGTGAAGAAGAGGAATATACTTTCATATCCGAAAATTCTAAAGTAAAAAATTTCGCAAAAATTTCTCTAATCTGGGCCTTACGAAGATCTTTTAGATATATAGATATATATATATATATATATATATGCATAATATCTCCATAGCTTGGGTTTAGTTATTTTTCGATGAAATCTTAATCAAATTAACTATAAAGAAGACGAAACACTTCTTCGAGTATTCCAGCAACTATTCGATATAACGATAAGTAGGGTATTCACTATATTATGTGTGATTTGCATTTTTGGTTTTTTCGAGAGTTTTTTTTTTTTTTTTTTTTTTTTTTTTTGGTTTTTTTGGAGAGGGAAACTATGTGATGATGAACCTTTGCGAAAGTTTTTTATTACCGGCAATGTTTGGTTGCATTAACTTAAGCAGAATTGTAAGATCTCATCGTTGTCATCGTCGTACGCCTGCGATGCACTTCGCAGCTACGATTCATTCCTTGCTTACGCAACACTCAAGCGGACAAGCGTATAAACACACGAACATACAAATGCAAATCTAATTTCCGTTATTCAGCAGCATTTGAATGTATTTAAATCATTCTGCTGTCAGTTGCTCTTATTGTTTCAGTTTTTCCATCTTCCTTGCTTTGCTTGCTCTTTTTCCGCTTTCCTTTTTTCTTCTTTTTTATTTTTGTTTTTGTTTTTTCATATCTAGATTCGTAACCTTTCTTTTCAGATTCAGGCATTTTCTGGCGCTTGTATCATTTCTAATTTTTGCTTAATACGAATTCATCTTAAATTTCTTGTTTTTTGTTTTTTTTGTTTTCATTCTTTTCGTCTCATTTTCATTATAAGATTCCCGGAGTAATGGAACCGAATATGCTTCTCAGCATACACATACATATACGCGAGCATACATAAATGCATTTGCCGACATATATATTTATATATATATATATATATATATATTTTAGGTACGAATTTTATATGGGAGGAATTATGTATGTGAGTGTAGGCTGGGCTTTATCGGCATTGCAGATGGAAATTTTCCAAATTTTCCATTTGTAATTGTATGGTAATGTTTGCATTCGGAAGCGAACACATCCAGCACATAGGCAGAAGCCTGATTCATTCATTGTTTACCAAAAAATTTAACAATTAAAAGTTTTGCACACACTTTCAAAGACCAAGTCTTACTAGTGAACTAAACTTTATACTTTCGCATAAACTTTTTTAAATCACATATTATAATATATATATATATATATATATATATATATACGTAATCACTTATATATTAATATTATTCGTTATATAGATTTGCGAATATGAGAAATAGATCAAAAATTTCCCGTTAATTAAATGGAAAAAAGAGATAAATTATTGCAAACATAATCAAACGTACTACGAACCGTTTAACGTTCGAAATTATAATTATAATTATAATTAGAACATTTTATTGATAAATTTGTTTGTTTTTTAAAATTTTTTTATATATTTTTTTATCATTCTTTTTGCAGGTGAAGTTGAACGTTTACTCAAAGAATATCGCCAGAATCAAGAACTGGTACGCCGTATCGGTGGTCACTACTATCAAATCATATATCCGGTGCAATTAAGGCATCACGAGAAGATGGGTATTTCAACGCGTGAAGTCAGTCCACCAAAGGTACGCAATCGTTTACGTTATAAGCGTAATATAAGCACTTACTTGACGGTATGTTTACACCAACACATCTCATCTCATCTCATCTCATCTCATCTCATTTCGTTTACAGTCAATTAATGTCACTTAACACTTTACTATCTGTACAAAGGCTTTCAACAGAGCCCTCAAAATTTTATCATCGAAAAGAAATCAATTAAATCAATATATTATGATATCATCTCTAATAGAGATAAGATATATATAGAAAATCGAATAAATATTCACTTTTCAAGCGATGAAATTTCTTTCATTAATTCATTCATTCATTCATTCATTCATTCATTCATTCATTCACTTTGTCCTCATAATTAGTCACGTTTAAGATCATTTAATTACCGATTGTACTTGTGATAAGGACTTTCGCATAGGAATCATTTCGATTTCGATTTCGTTAAATTTTGTTTTGATCCAAGTGTGTGTGGCATATATGTGGCTTCGTATGTCAGATAAATCGCATGTCACAAGCCACATATCAGAGAAATTGCAATTTTATTACAAAACTAAATGCGAATAATTAGCTTAGGGAAAATAGCTGAATACCTTAGCACCTTAGTCGTCCAGGTGATCCGTCAGGTAGGTTCAAGGGTATGTAACAAATAAATTGCAAACAATGCGTATTCATGGGCGGGAAGCTTCAAATAGCGAAACGTGCAAATGTTGTCGTGTGCTTATATTCTGTATATGTATACGGGGACGGGGGAGGGGCAAGTGTTCCACAGAGATACAAAAGATTTGTCCAACAATCATATTCTTTAACAAGGACTATGTGAAGCTCTCAACGTTCACGCGTGCTCTGCTTGGAGGTGTTCGGATATCGTACGACACAGTACCTCGTGCCTCGTTGTTTTTACATGCCCGCATCGCCCGCCTTTGGAACAAGCCACCCGCAATGATCATCCCCAACATTTCAGATGTTTACACTTTCACGACGTACGTACGTGAATACCACTCACTGATGCTTTCTGATCACCACCTGGTCCAAGTAACCAGCTGGTGCCTCGAAAACAAACGATATTTGATATATGAATTTTCTGTAGTACTTTTGGTGTCCGTACGCTTATCTATTAAATGTCCGCACCAGTAGGATGGCTCAAGATATGTCAGCGGTCGTATGACAACATATCTTATAATTTTTGCGTATTAAGCGTAGATATAATGTATGAAATATGTTGCAGTGCATCGCATAATCTTTCGAGGATCGCCGGCTGCTTATCCCATCTGCAATATCAACATCGATCTATCACAAGTCATTGTTGCATTTGCCGCTGAAATGTTAAAGAGAAAAAGAATGACAAACGTTACTCGTACGCAGGAAATCGAAATTTCATTTTTCTTGCCTTAGGATAGTAATTTTCTTAGCTGCATTGGGTCTGTCCGTATACTTACTTGTCGTCAGTCAAATTTGATTGTTTAATGAGAATGAGAAAAACATGGGCACGTTTTTCGGTTTTTGTTTCGATGGACATCAATGACGATCTTAATTGACTTGGCTTTTTTTTTTCATATTTTCTTTTTGTTTTATTAAAAATTTCATGTAAAAAATTCTTTTAAAATTTAGTTTGCTCCCTATTCGCTACTAGCGAATGCAAGGGTTAGGGATAATATTTTTTGACAAGCGTTCGAAAGCATTGAAAAGTGAATGTCAATAAATAAAAGTTCTCTTTATGGGAATTTTAAAGCCTTAACAAGTAGTCCGTCTGTCTGTCTGTCTGTCTGTCTGTCTCTATTGAATAAACAAACTATTCAGACAAATTGCACTTTCTTAAGCAACGCCACTTTATTGCATGAATAGCGTCTTCGGTGGCAAAATTTCAATACAATTACAACATATATGGAAAACACAATATAAGTCAAAAGTTCGCACATTCAATTTACGCGTATAGGTAAATATACATATATATATATATATATGTGTATAATGTAATGTAATGAACACATATTGTGTGTATAGCTCGCTGTTCAGTTAAGTGAAAAGTCTTTTCAATGAATTTGTAAGTGAATAATTAAATATACATAGAACGTAGAATTTCTTCGCAACTAGCGAAAGATTAAATACCTTTAACAAAAGATTTTTTTGCAAAAGTAAATGTTATGTAAAAGATTTTAAGTACACTTTCAAATCACGTAAAAGCATTACAGAGAAGGAAAGACAAGTTGTTTGATTCATTTATCCTCCTTTTTCTTCTTCTTCTTTCTTCTTCTTTCTTCTTCTTTCGTTGTTCAAACGTAATCACGTTATTGTTCCCCTATAAATAATTGATTAAAATAGAAATGAGCGTAAACAGAGAAACACTCTTGAAAAACAATTTATTTAAATTTAATAATACGTACCAAGGCATGATGACGAATCCATTGAAATTTATTACCAGAGCACTTATAATATATGCTTAGACATAACATTGATTAGACTAAAGTTCGTGACTCGATAGCCACGTGACTTTCGTTTCTCTCGCTCAAAGAGTTCAATTTAAAACAAAAAAAAAGAAAAAAGGGTCTAAGGGAAATTATTTCCCGCCTGTGAAATTAAAAAAGCCTCATACATGGAGTCATAAAATTTAAAATACATTTATTTTACCAATTCCTGTCAAAGCATATCGAACCCTTCCATTCCCCTTTTCTCCAATTCGGCAAAGTGATAAGAAAATCGTTTCAGATTTCTACCCTATGTTAAGAATACAACTTGTATAATATTGTTGTTTAGATGTCTATGTCTGGCAATTTCAATTAATTTCTGCCCCTTGTCAAAATAAAATTGTAAGCGCATTTCGTCCGTCACTAACCATGGCAACTACGAACTTAGTGATACCATTATTGCGTTCGCTTGCTTAGCTGAGCGGGCCACAATAATATCTCACAACTTGCTAATGAGAAAAGAAGCCAAGAAAAGTGCTTGGCTAAGAAATCTGTTCTCTAAGAATGAAAGATTACCCACGGACCAGCGCCACCGCTTTGTATCTTTTCACGTGAGAGAGGCTTTTCTGGCTATATTTCTTTAATAACGCGTAGTGTCAAGCGGTTATGCTTTCACACATCTCGGATTCACGGAATCCGAGATGCAATGAGGCCTAAACTAAAGAACCAGAATATTGGCATTGCTTTACAAGCTATAATCATAGGGTAATGGTATAGGAATATGAGTAATTTTAGGGTGCGCGACAACATGATGCAATGAGTTCGCATTATTGATCACGCGTAAAAAGTATGAGAAGTCCGGTGCTATAGAGGAAGAGCGCTATTGCTTCCGAATTTCCAGACAAATTGCAGTTTTGTGAATAATGCTCCCTCCTCTGCGGAACTCTAGGCCCACAAAACACCTCGAATGTCGATGAACCTGGACAGATGGATACATCTGTGATTTTAAATCGCTTCGGTCGATCTATCTCACGCCTTTCTCAGTGTTGTATACGTACGCACGAACTTAATATACCCCTGTGTGTGTGTTACATGCGTACGCAGACGCATGCTCTCTATCATAAGTGATATAAGGTATAAAAATTAAAAATTAATTTTTGAATAAACATTCTTTCACCATTACTTACCTCCGATTGCTAATTAGTATTGCGTATCCATTAAAGAGTTCAAACTAAAAGTGACACAGCGAATGGCAAAAGTATGATAATTAAATTGAATTTTTTTAAGGTAAAGGGTAAAATATTTACCTCCTCTTTCTTTATTATTTTGCTTGCCTTCAAAATTAAATTATTTTTCATCTTTGACAAATTATTGAAATTTAAGGAGTACTTAGCGCAAAGCTTGCTCTCAAAATTATTAACTCAATCATATTTTCTACTGAACGTATACATACAGTCAATATGCATTCAATATTTGTGTCATGCGAATACTATGAATACGAAATATATGCCTTTGAATGCTGCCTACAATCGTGCTGTTCTTTTCCATCATTTTCTTGCTGCTATTAAAATCATTAATGTATTCATAGTATTTTATAAAGCATTGCAAAGGTGCTGACTGTTTTCGGCAGCTGACATCCATTTCGGCATATTAAATTAACATTTTTGAAAATGAAAGGATATCTCCGATAAGTACTCTGAATACTACTGTACTGCAATTAATATGTGCCACTATAATGCTGCTTGAAATATTACGATACAAGTGCCATAACACCAGTGACGGTCTATTTAATTTTATGAAATCTAGTACGTGCTACTATTGCTGCCAATAAAGCGGGTACAGCTGAATTTATTAATACATTAAATGAAACTATTGTAAATTCATTTACTTTTAAGCCTTCGAAATGCTTCCACTTCCTATTAATTGAAAGACAGGCGGACGGACGGACGGACGGACAAATAATAGCAATTATGATGTCACAAAATGCACTATTAATGTTGAGTTTCACTTGTTGGGTTTATGTAAAAAAATCAAAACTATTTCGGAAATGAAAATTCGCGAAATTAACAACGGGATGGACACGTATCAGACGCAAGAAATGCTCATTAGAGATTAGGTAGATATTATATAAAAAACAAAAATAATTCATCGACAGACATTTTCAAATCTATCAAATCCCGACACAGGGACAATTGGTTTTAATATAACTTCTAATCGCATTTTGCGCACACACATGGGACGGGGGGAATAAAATGAGAAAGGAAATCCGCGTTGCCGTACGGCGCTGGATGATGGATGACGGTAACTGACATTAAGTGAAATAGTTGACGAGTATTGGTCTCTAAAAGGATTCGAAGGCTCGAAGTTTGTTCAATAATATGCTGCACTTTCACATACAAAGACAAATAATCAAAGTAATAGATGGCAGGCAACTGCTTAAGCACGATTTAGAAGAACGTGTTTTTTTTTTCGTCATTGGCATTATTTGGGGTAAAAATTGTATAAAAACATATTGCAGAACATGAAATATATTGCACATCACCTCATCCAATGCAATTTTTAATTTGTTTGTGTGATAAAATACTTATATCCCAATGTTCCAATAGAGTTATAAGAGACGGAATGAACATAAAACAACATGTACAGACCTCAAGAAGAGGCTAAGAAATAAATGGACCTATAGATAGACAGACAGACAGACAGACAGACAGGCTGATAAACTTATATCGCTCCGTAATATAGTAACGGGGGCAGACAGATTAGCTTACATTGACATGGAAAACCATTCAGATTCAATCGGTAAAATAAAAGTTGAACTCAACCCAATTCCTTCTCTATATTGCATATAAGACATCAGGATAAATTTATTACGACCTGCACTACAAGCTGAATGTGAAAGAAATTTTTTAAACTGAATTATTAAGAAGAATACTCGATGAGGGATATACTGTTCCGTATAGGATACGTAGTAGACTGTCATACGGAAAGAGAGATAACCAAAAATCCGGATAGAAAATCTGGCCTATCGACGGGCTATTAGATCGTATAAAGAAAAATGAATGCATAGAACAAACGATGAACAGACGATGAAGAGACCTATGTTGACCTTGACGGACTGGGAATGGGTAGAGAAATGGGTAGATAAATGGGTGTAGATAAAGATAGACCAATGGATGGACAAATCGATTATGCAATGTAATATACAAAGTAAGAGCGATAGAATAACTAGCGATTAGTTTGTTCACAATAGGCAGACAAGCGATTGATCATTACAAGCTCATTGGGCTCAAAGCCAAAAAAGCGCCGCCAAGTTCCAAGTATAAAGGGGAATGCGGAGATTCCGACAATTACTCAAAGATTAATAAAATTAATATACCTCGAATATTCATAATATGTACATGTGTGATTGCGTAAATGTTAATCCATTTCATTTAAATTAAATAATTCATATATTTAAATTTGTCATAACCACGAATGCTTATGACTAATTGAATTAATTTACAAAAGTAAAAAACAAAAGCCTTCCATACGCGAAGTATTGTATTGAAGCGAAATAATGTTTTTTTGTTTTTTTGTTTTGCTTTTCTTTTCTTTTTTTTTTTTTTGATCAATTATAATACCTTTTTATGTACAAGTATTATATCAAAATTAATTTATTACTTATTTATTTGCATAGCAAATATCCATAACTAAACATAATGGATTTGAATAGAAATTTTTTTTTTTTTTTTTCCTGATTATTGTTTTATTGTTAATTTAATATGTTTTACGCGAATTCACAGCTACAATTAATCATTGCATAAAAGCACACAAACAAACAAAGGAAGAACAAATAATATTTGTTATGCACGCCAATTAAGAATAACGCGATATTCAATAATTTAATAATTAACTATAAAATTTAATTAAACTAATCATTTTGAATTATTTTAAAGAATAAATAAAATGCATTTCTCTGCACATATATGTACATATATATATATATATATATATATATATATTTTTTTTTTTTTGTTTTTTATAAATTTTTATTATTTATATTTATTTCAGCCGGGTCAACGACCACGTCCTCACGATGACAGCGGCTTTAGTAGAGGCAGAACAAAGGTAAATAAAAATTTGATAAAATATTTAAAGAAACGATCACAAACTTTTCATATTGAAATAAATTGATGTTATAATAATATCGCGTATTTATTCATGCAAATTATATTGAACGATATAAATTAAAAAAAAAAAAAAAAAAAAAAAAACTGAGAAAAAAAAAAAAGATTTCTAATATTCAAAGTTATGGGCATAACTGATGCAAATAAATTAATTATAAATGACAAAACTAATTAAGTTCGTTGCCAAAGCAATGTGTACCGTGAATCTACACGCGATAAACATGGGATTTTCAATACTATATCATACAGCATTTAATTCTCCTCTTTTCTCTTAAACTATCTCTTTCTCTTTCACTCAGGCATTGCGCAGCAACAGAATTTGCGAAACTAAAAGCTTTCGTTTCGTATATTAGTAAAAATTTTATCTAAACGCATAAAAAAAAACATTTTTTGTATATAAAGTATACTAAAACATTATACATACATACATACATACATACATACATACATTGTACTTAAGGCTGAACCAAAAAATTAATTCATACATGACATTTTATTCATTTGGGACCTTTCATCATTTCATAGCAATGGTGAAAAGCGGGCCGAGCACAACAATCTCCCTTAGCGTATAGTATAGTTAGTGCATAATATGCACATGTCCAGACAAAAGCTTTAAAACACATAAAATTAATGTAATAAATAATAGCCAGAAGGATTTTCACTTAAATCCCTAATAATACCGGGGCAGTTTATTTCATGAACATATATAATGAAAATTTATAAAATTTTAACTAACATACCCACCCATTCATTCATTCATTCATTCATTCATTCATTCGTTCATTTATATACCTATATAAATGCCATACGCAGTCATTTACATATTTACTGTAAACTTGGGTCATTTGTATTTAAATTAATTTGTTAGTGTTAGTTAGACTGCCTGAAAATTTGAAAAATGTCATTAATTTACATGGGGTTCACTCTCGTTGCTTTTATTTATTTATATTTCGTTCGTTTTTTTTTTCATTTTTTCATTTTTTTATTTTTTTATTTTTTTCTCTCTCTTTTAACAAGAATTTGTAATGCATAGTAAATTAGATTGTAACGGTAGTAGGAAACTTCCTTATTACGTTATATCATGACTGAAGTTTACGCAATAAATGCGTGTGTATGGTAGATATATGAGAACACGGACACGAACACGGACACGGATATGAACACTGACATGAACACGGACACGGACGCCGGATTGTGGAAGTTAAGCGATACATTGTTTTATACTTACAATTGTTAAGCGGACGCGAGACTCTATATGAGTTAATTCAATTAATTCGTGAGACAGCTGTCAAGTATTAAGCTTCAGATGAGCAAAAAGCTTTTAATGACTAAACAATTTATGCAACTTAGGTGGCAACTCATCGCAATTATTTACGTAATGTTGAGGATTCATCCCACTGCCCCTAATGCTAGATGTTCATCGCAACTGGGCAATACTAGTAGTATTTGCAGTATCTGCGTCAAGCCTTGGAAAGTCTTGCCTGGCTATACTTGATTACATTCTCGTATTCATTACATTTTTCGCTAAGACGCTGTGATTGTTTCCAGCGCCTCGTAGCGCCGATTACTTGAAATCTGTACACTTCTCAATTCTTTCCTTAACGAAACGAGAATCTGTTGATCTGATTACATGCTGGCTATGAGAGTACGGAAAAAATATATAGCATTTTGCTCCATTTGCTCCATTGATAATAATTTTTAGTCTTGCAATAATTTCGAGCGTGAGTTGGAAATGAAATAGACACTCGTAAGGCTAAACTATTCATTGGCTATTCGCCCATTTAGCAATTAAGGTTAAGTTCCGTTCGTTCTTACGCTTATAGTGTCAAGTAGTACAATAAAATCGATCAAGCGTTGTGAGAGATCTCGCTTTAGGATCATAACATGTTCGGAGATCACAAAGTCGTAAACGAAGTCTACAATGCATTTGTAAACTGTACAACGTCAATCGCATAAGTGTGGGTAAATATTGCTGTTATGTAAGCGTTCCGATGCTGTTTCATGATTTTTCGCTTCGTTACAGCTCGAATCCATTAGATTCCTTGAAGCAAGTAAAATTTTGAAACTATATATCAATATATATATATATATATATATATATAGATATACATCATAACTTACTCTATTCAAGAAGAAAGAAGAAAGATACAAATTGTAATATTTCTCATAACGCATAACTAAACATTATATAAAATGAAAAACTATATAATTCATAATTATGATCTGCATACGATAGCTTTGTTCATTTTCAAACTCGGTTGTACGAAATAATCGCATTATTCAGATTGGTTTGTTTTTGGACAAAATTTTCTCGCATGCTCTCCTATGAATGCGATAAGTTAAGCGGTGTGGGCTTTAACGAAACTATTGATGTGTAGTAGAAATCAATAGATATATATATATATATATATATATATAGGAACTAACTTATATTTAGGGTAAGAGAAAGTCAGTGCTGACTGGTCGATTCGTTCGTCACTAATGTCTATAAATATTTTTTCATTATTTTGGAAAAACCTTTTCTTTTTTTTTTTTCTATTTTGCCATCATGATAAGCATTACTAATTAATGCATAGGCTAAACGAAAATGGATTTAAATGAATATTATAAAATAAATGAAAACCGAAACACACATAAGCTTATAAGCACACAGGCCAAGCATGCATGCATGCATGCATGCATGCATACAAATGCCGAAATTTTGCATATATACGAAAAAACCACAAAAATCTATTTTCTCTCAGTAATCTAAAATATACCTGTTAGATCACAAATTTATCTACAGACACACAAACAAACAAACAAACAAACACACATACACACACACACACACACTCGTATACACGCATACACGCACATACACACACACGACCATACACACCTATCCTACACAAAGAGAAAAATTCTCGAAAAATAATTTTTAGAATGTTAGAAAGAAAGCAAAAGCAAAAAAAAAAAAAAGCAAAAAAAAAAAAAAAGAAACGATAAACTATAACGTTCCCAAAGGATAAGTTTATTAGTACAGTTTGTTAAGTGAGTTGTGAAAATATTTCGCAAGCATTCTTTAGTAGGGCAAGACTTTAAATGAGTGCATTTCACCTAAAATACCTAAATATTATATACATGTATACACATGTATACACATTTAAATATATAGATCATTAAAGTATAGGATGCACATTATATGTGTGTATATATGTATATATGATATAGCTACAGCTATAGATTCAAATATGTTTGTACTCATCTACGTAAAATATGCCTAACCAAACCAAGAACGATTTTAGTCACAAATTAGATAATAGAAGAGATTCTATTGGCTTAGACTTAATAATAATCTCAAACTTTACGGGGACTCCTTTCAAACCATCATCTAGCTTTAGTTTACTGTTTACGGGCACACATGCATTTTCACTATATTTACATGCATACATGCATACATGCATATATATATATATATATATATATATAAAAACGAACTTCATGACACAGTTGATAAATGCATATAAGAGTTGAGAAGTAAATTATATTTACTGCACACAATTTTTACATATGGAGAAACGAGGCAAAATTTGGACCACCCGTACCATGCACTCAACTGCAAATAAAACCACAGTTGAGAGCAGCATTTCCATACCTTTAACTCGCTTAGACCAAAGACGATTATTATGTGATTTATCCTGCTTCCAGTATAGCCATGCCTTGTTTTTTTTTTTAAATAAAAACGAACGTAACGAACATACTGTACGATACGGGTCACACTTATCGCTTTCTTTTATTGCACTCTAAGTATGACTGCCGTAGAGAAGAGCAAGGCAAACTTTGTTAGGTTTTGTTAAGCTAAATGAAATGTATGTATATGTGGTATGTTATGAAGAATTATAAAAAAAAAAATAAAAAATAAAAAAAAAAAATTTATAAAAATTTTTATATATATATATATATATATATATAAAGTCACAAGTTTTTTTATTATTAAAAACAATAAGAAGAACTTGTGTTCTACATGTCTCGGCCAAGAGGAGAAGACCGACTAATTTGAGAATAAGCAAACAATAATATGTTAGTTAGAAGAGTTACTGAAATATTCCATTCTCAGGTCATTTATCTTTCTTCAACACAGTCGGCAACGGAGAGGGAAATATATGCATAATATTTCACACAACACAGAATACAGTTTTGAAAATAAACTTAAGTTTATTCGAAAAGGTTTAGTAAATCACTACCGAAAACAGTTTAATCCTTTAACAACAATCAAAGGTAAAAGTTTAGCATAATGAAAACCCAAAAATAATTCCTAAAATTTTTAATAAGTTTACCTTACCTTTACCTTTATCCCGTTGATTGCTTTTTTCAACATATACATATATATGTATTTATTTGTGTATCATTTTTCGAAAACCATATGCAAACTCGAATATTACATAATGACATCTCTAGGCACAGAAATCGCTAAGAGACGTTTCATAGGTAACACACTTTTTGTATGCATCATTTTTACTACCGAATCAACATGAAATGTTGCGCTGCGGTGAGGGAAATTGCACGCACGAGAAAAACTTTTCAAAAGTTTTAGACATGAAATGAATTATACTTACCGCACTTAATAAGAACGAACGAATCTCATTTGACCTGATAACGATGAAAACAATGTGCTACGACTCCTGTTAAATGACTTACCATATTTCCAAAATAAAAAAAGGAGGCATCATTCACTTCTCCTTAGCCCTGATATCAATCACGAATTAAAGCCAAATGCTTTTCCCTTTCTCTTTGATAAGCTGCTTGAAAGAAATTTCAGGCGTAAACTTGGCCAAGACAGCCAGCCTATCATTTCAAAATGTTATAGGTCATGTTTCAAATCTTGGAACGCATTGTCGACCTCTTTAACTGATGCTCATTCGCATCAATATATAGCCTAACTTGTATCCATTGCCCGGA